GACTCTTATTTCTCTAGGATATATTCCTAGGAGTGGGATTGCTGGATCGTATGGTGTTTCTATTTCTAGCTTTCTAAGGAAGCACCATATCATTTTCCAAAATGGTTGTATGATTTTGCATTCCCACCAGCAGTGCATAAGAGTTCCGATCTCCCCACAGCCCCTCCCAACATTTGTTATTTCCAGTGTTTTTGATTCGTTCCAGTAATGCCAGGGTGAGGAATGTTTTCTTTTTTATTCCAGAGGGAAGAAGTGAATGAGAAATTAAGGTTGTCAACAGCTATTCTTTGCTTGAGAAGTGCTGGTATTTACTTTGGCCCTGTGATTACTGAGCTGGACAGAGGGCTGCTCTTAACACAGGAGCATGGCAGGAATGGGTTCTTCTTAACATTTCACCCTGGCTCATCTTAGGTGAAGAAAGAAGCCCAGAAATAGCTTGTGGCACAAAGGGTGCTTGCAGATGCTGGTTTGCATTGGCTTTGGTAAGTGGAAATTGGCAGCCAGCTGTTGCAGGTGTTTTGAGGTCAGCACGTGATGGGCTGTGTGGTATAGTAGAGTGAACATAAGTTCCAGTGCCACACAGCTTTTCAGTCAGGTCTCCATCACATACCAGCTGAATGACCTTGGTCCCATTGTCTATGACAATCAGTCTTCTCATCTGTAAAATGGGGATAAGACCTGCCTCTTGGGATGGGTGGACAATTAAATGAAATATAGCCCAGGGCCTGGCCTCTGGCACACTCTTACAACTGGTCTGTATTCCCAGGGCCCTCTGTAAACATCTAATAGGAAGGACTGTCATGGGTAGGGTGAGGGAAGTGGGTCAGCAGCATCTGATCCATGGTCTCTGATTCACAATAGCCCAAGCTATGTCACTGTCTCTGTGGAGGTAAGATATAAACCCCAGTGTGCCTAAAGGAGGGGTGCAGACATGGGTTATTTTATTAAAGAACTTAAGCGTGCCAAAGGGTTAGAGGCTAGAGCTCCATGCTCCCTGTGTGGCCATACTCCCAGTCCTCATCCACGCACATGTTGGAGGACAGTGACAGGCCACCAAGCCTTGGGATGATGAGTGGCTCCAGCTCTCCCCAGGGGCCCTCATTGAGACAGAGGTCAGCAGAACTGGACTTGTGTAAAGTGTGTCTGGGGTGGGTCATGTGAGCCTCTGTTTTACCAAGCATGATGTCCTTCTCCAGGGACTAATTCTCCCTGATAATATGTCCAAATTACATGAGATGAAGTCTCACCATCCATGCTTCGAAGGAGCATCTGGCTGTACTTCTTCCAAGACAGATTTGTTTGTTCTTCTGGTAGTCCATGTAGTATTCAATATTCCTTGCCAACACTGTAATTCAAAGGCATCAGTTCTTCTCCAGTCTTCCTTATTCATTGTCCAGCCTTTTGCATGCATATGAGGCGATCGAAAATACCATGGCTTGGGTCAGGCACACCTTAGTCTTCAAAGTAACATCTTTGCTTTTTAACACCTTAAAGAGGTCTTCTGCTGAAGATTTGCCCAATGCAATATGTTGTTTGATTTCCTGACTGCTGCCTCCATGAGTGTTGATTGTGGATCCAAGTAAAATGAAATCCTTGACAATTTTGATATTTTCTAATCCTCTCAACAACCTGTGAAATAGGAATTGTTGTTTCGCCCATTTTACAGATTAGGAAACTGAGGTACAGTGAAGTGAAGTGAAGTGGGCTGGCTAAACCACCCTGCTAGCAAGAATGGAGCTCGGGTCAGGATGGAGGTGGGATAATCTTAGCGGTCTTGCATCTTTATGTCCCCACAGCACCAAGCACAATGCCCTATATTTAGGAAGAGCTTAGTAAATGCCTGCTGAGTTGAGAATGGAAGGATTCATGTGCCAAAAGGACACTGGGAAATGGACAAATGCCTGGGCAGTGCTCTGAAAGACCAGCTATGTAGAGCAGCAGCTGGCAAACCATCAATTTAAATTTCACAGTCATCTGGCCAGTTGCCTGCTGGCCTGCAGCCAGTGCATACAAAGCCAGACTTGATCAGCTTTGGCTCTTTTATTTCAGGCACTCCACCTTCCAAGGAGGTGCCTGCTGGGAAGTACCCATTCATAGTCACCTCCGATGATGGGCAGCAGGTTCCCGTGGTCCAAGCCTATGCTTTTGGCAAATACCTGGGCTATTTGAAGGTTGAGTTTGATGAAAAAGGAAATGTCATCACTTCACATGGAAATCCCATTCTTCTAAACAGCAGCATTCCTGAAGGTATGTGAAATTTAGGGGAATGTTCTGCCAATCCAAAAATTAGGTGGCTGGATCTTTTTGCTTTTTTTTTTCTTTTTAATGTTTCAGGAAAAGTCTATAAAATTTCTGAAGAACTTAGCCTCTCCCTTGAGTTTACCCTCTTCATGGACAAAAAGACTGAAAACTTACCCAAAGGCCAAAACTCTCCATTTCCTTCTCGAGACCTCTCAGTACCAGACAATGTGCGTCACTGCTGCTTCTGCCTTTTACAAGCTTCTTCAAGCATGGGACAGCCACTCAGCCCATGTCTGGAAGAGAGCTGGTTATCAAAGCCTAGGGATTCAAATTGGGCAGAGCAGGGCTTAAATCCTGGTCCCACCACTTAGGAGCAGTGTACCTTGGACACTTTGCCTAGTCTCTATAGGCCTCTGTTTCTTTCTTGATCAAATGAAGAAGTTGGACTACCAATGTCTATCACACTTTTTTGTTTGGTGGATTACGTTGATTGATTTTCTAATGTTGAACCATCCTTGCATACCTGGTATGAATCCTACTTGGTCGTGGTGTATTATTTTTTTGATATG